TCCTGCTTCCTATGGACGAGAGAACGGAGGCCCCAAGAGTTTGTGTGGTTTCCCTGAGGTCACATAGAAACTCTAGAAAAGGGAACAAGACCTGGGTTTACCCTGTGGTCAAAGCTGGTGTGCTCTGCATTGGGGCACACAGCCTCTGGTTACAGGAGTGCAAATATTTTACAACAACTGGAAAAATGTACTGTTAGTGAGTCTACAGATACCACCGGTAAACCCAGCAGGGCAGGGTGGTAGCAGCTTCATGGATGGTGGTGAGCCATGCAGAGATGCTTGGAACCAGCAGGAATCTTCACTAGCGAAGGCATTCGCCTGGGCTGGACCGTGTTTGTGAGGCCTGCAGATGTTCTGGTAGTATTCCACGGACCCTGGCCTTGTCCGGACGTGTCTTTCTCGGGAAGTCCTACAGCCTCCGTTTCCTGAAATAATCTCTGAGAGGACCACGTGGAAGCTGCCTGCGCCCCGGCTGGCACCCTGACCTCAGGCGCCCACATGGCCTACTTCCTGTCACCGGTGTGACCCCGGAAGCACTTCTCTTTCTCCTCTCAGGGCCTGGGGGTGGGGACCCAGAGGCTCAAGACCCTCGGGCCTCAAAAGGGATGGACTCAAAATATAATTTATTTCTCAGGAAGTTCTTTCTTCCTTTCTTTCCCCCTCCCTTGCTCCTTTCCACCTCCTGATGCCCCATCTCCTCAACGCTGGTGTGGCATTTTGTCCCTTGTATTACGCTTCTTGCTGGTGCTGTTGGGTCTTTCATTCTTATCGAAAGTTTAATCTTCTGTCTAGCAGCCTTCGGATTTTTGAAAGGTTGAAAACAATTGCCCAGACTCACATGTGGCATTTTGACTCAGCCACGCTTTAGGTCTGGACGCAGGCTAAGGATCTGAACGCCAAAATGACTCCTCTGAAGAGTGACATTTAATTGATTGATTGGTTCCACACCCAGCCTGGAGCCCAGTGTGGAGCTGAACTCATGACTCCGAGATCGAGACTTGAGCTGAGAGTGAGAGTTAGACGCCTAAATGATGGAGCCCCCCAGGCGCCCCACACGGCACAGCTCAAGTGGAAGTAACCACTGGTTCATTAGCCACAGGTGGCTTGTGGCTTCCATACTGGGCAGTGCAGTTCGAAATGTAGGATTGTTTCCCTGAGAACTGAACAATCAGCTATTATCCTGAGCGTGAATCACCTGCCCACCCAAGGTAGACTAACTTTTTCACAGCATCAGAATTGCAATCCAGGGATGCCTGGGTGGCTCCGTTGGTTAAGCGTCTGCCTTCAGCTCGAGTCCTGGGATCAAGCCCCACATAGGGCTCTCTGCACAGCAGCGAGTTTGCTTGTCCCTCTCTCTCTCCCCCGGCTTGCTCTCTTTCTCTTTCAAATAAATAAGTCAAATCTTTAAAAAAAAAAAAAAAAAAAGAATTACAACCCAAATGACCCAGGAGAGTTAATTCACTGGGTATTAAAAAGCACACACTAGGTGCTTAGGACCTGTTTATTAACCTTGAGTAAAGCAGTTTCTTATTACCCAAGAGTTACTGGATATAAAATTAGGGGACCATTTTCTCCAAGACCCTGATTTTTTTTTCCTTGTTGCTATTAAACTTACATCACTTCAGCAAATTTGGGTATGGAGCTTGCCAGACTATTCCTGTTTCTGTGTCCAGTCAGCTTCTGTGGCTTCCTACTTTCGTCCCTGACCACAGTGGGACCTCAACCAGGGGTGGCGAAGACTTTTGAACCCCCCCACCCCCCACCACCGCCATGGTCTGACTTAGTAGCACACCTTCTCAGAGAAGTGAGCTTAGAGGACATTTCCAAACTCATCCCATGCGAAGCTTTCTCCAGTCCTCTTATCAGGGAAAGCCGTCTTTCCTGCATGCGTCTCTAACTGACTTTGCCCGAGAGGCAGAGTGGTGTGTGTGGCTCTTACCCGGGATTGCTGGTGCTTCCGGTAGAAGTCAGTCACATTAAAATCATCCAGGTCGACCAGCAGGCCTTGCTTACACATCTCACAGGTCTTCACAGTACCTAGATCCGCTCCTTAAATTAAAGAATTCTTTGTTACATAAAACTTTGGGTCTTAACATGTTGACACTCTGGGTCTCTTTGTGTGGACATTTTGGGAGTGAACTCATGTGTATTAGTGACTTTTTAAAAAAAAATTTTTAAGTCAGCCATCTTCTGTAGAAAAGGGCCTTGAATCTAAGATCTGGAAAATTTCCTTCATAATAATTTTCATTATTATGCAAGCTTCATATAAGTGAAATCCCCGTGACTTTTAAATAACAGGTCTTGCTTTCTGTTTAAACATAAACATACTGGTTCATAAAATTGGAATTGCTACATGGAGGCTGAGAGTCAGTGACACAGGTGTTTGCCAAAAAGAGGGAATAGTGGCCTGTGTTGTTGTGACGGACGTAACACAGGTCTAAGCAAATAAGTAAACGAGGACCCAATTGATGGCAGAAACTATTCTCAGTCTGTGGTTTCAAAAATCTGCCTTTAGGGGCGCCTGGGTGGCTCAGTGGGTTAATCCTCTGCCTTTGGCTCATGATCTCAGGGTCCTGGGATCGAGCTCCCTGCTCAGCGGGGAACCGGCCTCCCCTTCTCTCTCTGCCTGCCTCTCTGCCTACTTGTGATCTCTGTCAAATAAATAAATAAAATCTTTTAAAAAAATCTGCCTTTACACTCGCCCAGGTAACTTCCCACTCAAGAAAGTGAGGGAGCCAGGAGCCATGGGTGGCAACTAGCCCAGCGATATCTGTGGCCAGTACCTGAGACCAAGCTCAGCCTCATCTGGGAAAAGAAACTTGAGAAAACTTCCTTTGTTGCAGCGGGTTTTCTTTCTTTCTTTCTCTTTCTTTTCTTTTCTTTTCTTTCTTTTTTTTTAACTTGCATCCTAGATCAGCACTTTTTTTCTATTTATCCTTGTCCCCAAAGCAAAACTGGAAGATGGAAGAACTGTGCTGTGTTGAAGCAAATAAGCTCTGTGTCTTTTCCCCTAGTCTGGAGGCTGCATTTTTGCTAATGATGTCCCGGTGTTTATATTTGCATTAGCAAAATAGAGGACTGATGAGTTTTCTGCATGTATTTGGTAAAGATAGGGCTTGTGCAGTTTTAGACCCCAGTTCTATCTTGCCTCACTGGGGACATAAAGAAATAGTAAATAATAGAGAACTTTAAAAGACAAGGATAAGCCGTAACCCCATGTCTGCATTTTGTTTGCTTTTTTTTTCTTCTTTTTTAAAGTGCCATTCTCTAATACTTTAGGCTTCTGAGTGTCCCTTGGGTCTTCCGAGCTGAATCCCACTCAGCACACTCCTACTGACATCGGCATTTACAAGCATTTAGCAGGGTTTCTGTCACACGTTTCACGAGTAATTTTTTCCTGTGCTAAATGTTTAATTGGCCCAAATTTGTAGTAAGATAAAAGATCGCATGGCAGAGTCATTAGCAGCCAAGATCCCCTTGTTTCCTCTTTGTCTGAAGGACTGCGTACCTAGCTCACTATGGGGAGAGGAGTTTAAGCAACTTGGGTGGTGGGTCTGGGTTTTTCCTGCCTGGGAAGGTGCTCAGGAGGGAAAAGCAATCAGGGAGGAGACAGTTAATCTGATAGTCCCACTGTTCATTCCTCTTTCTCTGGAGGAGGCATGGCCACAACAGGATGAGACTCTTAGGTCCGTACCCCCACCCCACCCACCCCCGCCGGGCTGCCTAGAAGAATGATAATCAAGGAGGAGAACATAGAAGAGGAAAGAAAGAGGATCCTGGCTGCGGAGTAAAAGGTTTTCGGGGAGTTGTGTCTGAAAGACACAGTGGTTATTTGTCATTTGGTTCTTGAGTTGCTGTTTCCTGTATTTCTGTTCAAGTTGCCCTTCTTCCCCAAACCAAATTTTAAAGAAATCCCCTGTTCTCTGCCAAGAAAATGCCAGCTGACCTATACATGTGGCTGTATTTAGGTTGTAACCTCCCCAGGGAGTTGAGAAGGGGCTTCACACCCAGTTACAAGATCTGCAAAAGCCAGAGCTGACAAAGCCAGCATGCGGAAATCTCTTTATCTAATACAGTTCTAGAAAATTTGATCAGTGCTCTTTTCCTGCCCCTACTGCAAAATTGCAGCTTTGCTCAGTTTCTTAGGTGACACCCTCCTTCCCCCACAAATAAAAGGAAGCGGAACTGTTTTTGCCAGGTGTCCATTAGTGGGCATGGCTTGCTGTGTGTTTGCTGAGGTTCAACGGCTGACCTATTTTAGTTTCCTTCCTCCTGGGAGGGGATCTTAGCATCTCTGCTTGGGCGGGGTAGGATTCAAGTACAGATTCCAGGATTCTTCTCTCAGACTTGGGAAAACAAACTCATTTGTGTCCCATCATTTAAAGGCAACATTGAGTCCCACTGCTATCCATCAGGGCTGTGAACGGGAGCCCTGTGCTGGGGCGGGGGGAGCTGGGGGAGGGGGGGCCATGGATCTCCCGGCAACTGCTCCCGGAGCTGCCGTCAAGGCTGGAGTCCCACACTGTGGTGTCTGGTTAATTATATGGCGAGGCGCTCTTGCCGCTCTTCCTTCCCCACCTACCTGATGTTATTTTCACTTTGAGCCACTTTTTCAGGCACTCCTGATGAACAAACTGCAGGCTTCCCACACAACCGCAAGGCTCCAGGAGGGGGTTGGTTGGGGAACCCCCGGCTATCTGACAGATGCGACACAGGTCTCCCTCCTCCTCCGAGTCCTCGTCCAGGAGACTAAATGGAAAACAAGCCCTGGTGACCGGGGGTCTGCACAGTTTCTACTGACTACAACTACTACTACCACTTCCCAGGACGTTAAAGGGGGAGGCCCCGTCAGGGTTGCCCGGGCTCCCCCACGGCTCCCTCTGACCCTACTGAAGATTCTTCCCAGTGACTTATAGTAGGTGCCCGGACCCTTGTATCAGACTCCTTGGCAGTTAGTGACACGTGTGAGCTGGCTGCCAGAACCAGCCTTGCGACCAGAAATCTAGAGGCGGTGGACGAGGCTACAGAGGAAGACCATGGAAGAGGCTGGGAGCCCCTCTCCCAGTCGTGGCCACTGTGGAAGTTGGTGGTACGCCGTGTTGGTGAGTGTGTGGGATCTGTGGGCAGGAGGCCTGGGTTTGAGGCTTGCCTCTGAAACTTGGGAGTTTGATGACACTGGACAAGTTATTTAAATTTCTCAGGTCTCTGTTCCCTCATGCATAAAGCCGTGTGATGATAATACCGCCACTGCCTAGGTGACAGGGTCGTGGGCAGACAGGATGTCATGATGGCGGTGTGCTGTTCTGCAGACCATGAGTGCATCTAGTGTCTGGTGAAGCATTTGTACACGGAGATCGCTCAATAGTGAACCTGGACATGAACTCACTAATAGCACAACACTTGGCCGACAAATTATGCCAACATTCCAGAATGTAAGCTGCTGGAATCTGATGCAGATGGAATTAGGAAAATGGAAGCAAGTATGTTATTGTCCAATAAATGAGGAGTGAAGACTAGCCAGTTGATGTTCACGTAGGGAGGCTCTAAGAAGCCCAAGACTTGTTCTTTAGCATCCTCATGGACTAGGGACTGTCTGGTCAAGGAAAGGAAATTGGCTAGAGACTGAAATCAAAGAAGAGGAAGAAATGGGCATTGTTCTGGAGACAGACATATGTGCTCAGTTTCTTCAGAGACTTTCCTCCCCACAGGAAAGGGAAGTCACCGAAAAGAAACAGAATTATAGTTTTCCATTATGGGCACAAACAAAAGAAGAGCTATACCAGATTTTTCAAAGACTCAATATCTCCAAGATGTCAGTTCTCCCCAGAATAATCTGTAGATTCAATGCAGTTTCCATGAAAATCCCAACAGGCTGACTTTGAAAGGTCTATAGTCAAGGACTCTGAAGGAACAAAATGGGGAGGGAGGCTTTGCACCACTGGTTACCAAAACTTATAAAAGTTACGGATATTAAGATGCTATGGTATTGGATTAGGGGAAAAAAAAAACAAAAGAAACAACAGGCCAGAATAGAGAGCTCTGAAACAACCTCGGACATACATAACATGTCATATAACATTCTGTTATATGACAGACGTGGCTCTAAAAGAAGCACAACGATAGACATTGCTAGTGAGACAGTAAGCGGCCATTATTATTTTTTTAAAGATTTTATTTATTTATTTGACAGATCACAAGTAGACAGAGAGGCAGGCAGAGAGAGAGCCAGGGAAACAGGCTCCCTGCTGAGCAGAGAGCCTGATGTGGGGCTCGATTCCAGGACCCTGGGATCATGACCTGAGCTGAAGGCAGAGGCTTTAACCCACTGAGCCACCCAGGTACCCCACAGCCATTATTTAGGATAGGGAAGGTGTGCTAACCTCTAGCTCAGCAGTTCCACCCCTAGATAAATGTCCCAGAGAATTTTTCCCATGGGCACCAGGAGACATTTTGCAAGAACATTTATGTGGCCCTGTTTGCAGAAAACAATAGAGAACCCCAATGCCCATCAACAGGAAAACAGCCAAATTGTGGTATATTCAGGTAACGGAATACCTTGTGTCGTGAACGCGAACAGAGTAAAGCCAAAAATATCAACAAGGATGCCTCTCACTAACAATGCTCAGGGAAATGCAAGTCACAGGGGAATAGATATTCCATTTCTATAGGGTTCAGAAGTAATGCATTTCTACAGAATTAAAAAATGTGCACAAAATATTGTTTAGGGTTGTGAGTTCGAACACTGCATTGATTGTACAGATTACTTAAAATAAACAAATTAAAATTTTTTAAAAAATTGAAAGCAAAGGAATGATAAATGCAATGCAAGAATGGTTTCCTGGGGAGGCAGAAGGGGTTGGGAGGTCGTAGATGAGGAAGGAAGATGAGATAGGGTGGGTGAGGGGCTCAGGAATTCAAGTAAAGTTCTGTTAGCTGGAAGGCAGGCACCAGGATATTGGGTTTTGTTTTATTTCGAATTCCCTAATTATTTGTACGCATTAAAGTAACTAACCAAGGGGAAATTTTTAAAGAGTATAAGTGGCATTGAGAAATGAGCTTGAAATATTAAAATGAGGCATATTATAAAATATGAGCCAAAGTGTACTAAGAATTGCATTTATATGCAAAGATAAGAGACAGGAAGCAAAGTTTTTTTGTAGTACTTATCTCTGGATTATAGGATTACAGGTGATTTTTCTTTGAAGTTTTTATTTTCCTATTTCCTAAAATGAACATTTTGTGATAATAAGAAAAGCCTAAGGATTATTATATACAGAAAAAAAAGAAGGTGTCTGATAAAGTACACAAGTCATAGCTGTTTAATGCATTGCCACACCGAGACGTGGATGCCCTTTTCAAAGAAATAATTTTTAGCCCAAAGACATCACTTTGGGCTGGTGGAACCCAAACTCCTGACAAGTGGGTCTGAAGGTGTATTTCTGGGTAGGTGTAGATGGGTGTGTGTGAGGCTTTTTGGCCCTTAGCCATGGGTCAGTGTGCTGGTGGCGTGCATAATACAGAAAAGCAAAGGTCCCGCCAACAGGAAAGTTACTCATTTCTGTAGCTGGATAACAGACCTAGAGGAGGAGAAGGGCTCCATCCTGTGACCTGTCTTATCCTCCTACACTCTCATTCACTGCCATGGAATTTTCCCACGTGCAAATGAATATCAGTTGGATAATTAATGGCCCAAATGAGCTGTACTAACACACACAAAGAAGGCTTGCATTCAAAGAATCCATTTCCAGATCAGTAAGCCAACATTAGGGTGTGGTGACACCTGTCATAAAGGAAACGGCCGAATCCTGACATGGTGTTTAATGATGGCTTTAAAAGGTATCAAATTTCGTAGCTGTGAAATATCCCCAAATCATCTTACAAGACAGTGAAGATCAAAGATAAGGGTAATCCATAAAAAAGACCTGTCTCTCCCATGCATGAGAAAGAACACAGGAAATGGAAGCAGGGTTACCCTAGTGCAGCCCTGCAGAGAACCCAGGTAACCATGGTAACTGGTTGGAACCAGACTTTTGGTTGGAAAGATTCAAATTCTAGAGCTGTTGGTTGGATTTGTGCAAAGTCCCATGAGAGAGAGCTGGTGAACTTCAAGTGCAGAGTGGTTCACTCTCTGGGGAGATAGCAACCTTTTTATAAAAAATCCTGGTTCCTGAACTTACAGAACCGGAAATAACGTGTGGATCTCTTCCCTCCTGCAGCCATCGCTGAAGTGCCTGGGGCCACAATGAAGTTTAATCCCTTTGTGACTTCTGACTGGAGCAAGAACCAGAAATGGCATTTCAATGCACCTTCCCACATTCTCAGGAAGATCATGTCTTCCCCTCTTTCCAAAGAGCTAAGACAGAAATACAACGTTCGGTCCATGCCCATCCGAAGGGATGATGAAGTGCAGGGTGTGTGAGGACACTGCAAAGGTCAGCAGATTGGCAAGGTCGTCCAGGTTTACAGGAAGAAGTACATCATCTACATTGAACGAGCGCAGCGAGAGAAGGCGAACGGCACAACTGTCCATGTGGGCATTCCCCCTCGCAAGGTGGTTATCCCTAGCCTAAAACTGGACAAAGCCCGCAAAAAGATCCTTGAACCAGGGGCTCCTGGGTGGCTCAGTGGGTTAAAGTCTCTGCCTTCGGCTCAGGTCATGACCCCAGGGTACTGGGATAGAGTCCCGCATCCATCGGGCTCTCTGCTCAGCAGGGAGCCTGCTTCTCCCTGTCTCTCTCTCTGCCTACTTGTGATCTCTGTCAAAAAAAAAAAGAAAAAAGAAAAAAGAAAAGATCCTTGAACGGAAAGCCAAATCTCGCCAAGTAGGAAAGGAAAAGGGCAAATATAAGGAAGAAACAATTGAGAAGATGCAAGAGTAAAGTAATCTTCTATGTGACTTGAAATAAAAACTGTTAAAATGAAAAAAAAAAAAAATCCTGGTTCCTAATGGGTGGTGAGAAACGCTAGCTCTACACAGGAGTTCAAAACTCCTTACATCTAGCAAACTTGCCTTCCTTAAAGTTACAGTAACAGTATTCAAGGAAAAAACACTTCGGGAATACTGAAGAGATTGAGCTAGAAGACCAAACATTTCCTCATAGAGACATGTATCTTAAGAGCAACAAAATAGACAATTTCCTCGATATAAGCCACATTAAAATGCCAAAGAACAGCTATGAGTTAAAATTCCCATGACGCTCTAATGAAGGCACTGGTTATTTCTACCTGGGCAACACAGAATTTTTTTAAAAAGTGTGTATATCCAATTATGAAAATTCCTCACCTTTCCTGTAATTTCTTGAGTTTCTCAGGGTCTGCCTTTATCTTAATGGCTTCCTTTTCATCTGTGAAAGCAGAGACTGCCTGTCTGTTTCCATTATCATTTTGATTTGGGGAATCAGAGACTGCAAAGAAAGTAAAGGGTATGTTTTCTTGCAAGGACCCAGGCACATGCAAATGGCCTTGTAAGTTCATTCTTGACGGAGAGGAGCTGGAAGACTCCACCAAGGACAAGTTGCTTTGAGGATTTAGTGAGAGGTCTTCTGTGTATAATGGAGCCCCCTGCGATGGGCTTGTTAAAGTAACATCTTCTTCTCCCCTGACGTCAAATTCATGTGCACTGTTTACTGGAAAATAACTATGGTTTTCAGCACTGACAAATGGATTCCTATTTCTAATAGGGGACAGTAGTCGACGAACGCTAAACCTTGAGTTTCCCTCTGAGTCTGCACTCTGAACGAAGGTAGATGACATTGACGAGTCTACTGGAGTATCCTCTCTCATAGCAGAATGCATTAATGATCCAGGAGTGTTGTAAGATGAACTCGCTGGTGATCTTGGAGCTGTTGATCTACCAGAAAGAAAACAGTCAAGAGAATTACTAGAGCTGTTTAGATAGGCATGCCAATCTCTTTCATAATCATGGGTACCAGACCTGTCTTCCATTGAAATACAATCTCTAAATACATTTTCAGCACTGAGGTCACCATCCAGACTAGATTTGGTGTCCCATGAAGGAAAGGCGCTATTCTCATGTTTACTGTCACCACTGTCATTCTCTTTAGGAGATCCTCCAGGAGGTAGCTCCGGGTCTTGAAACACCCTTGGCCCAAGAGGAGGTGGCTCGGTCACCGGCTCCATAGCATTGCATATTCTTAATGAGCCATAACTGGACTCATTTCTTCTTACAGAATTAGCTCTCCAATTTTCAGGGTTTTCTTCGAAATTTTTATTTTTGGCCTGAGTGGCCGATATCCCAAGAAATCGACTTCTCTTGTGATTGGGAGGAGAACGAGTTGGGTGCATACCAGCCAACAAAAGTTCTTCCTCTACAAGAGTCTCTTCCTCGGTGTCATCACCATCTCCTCCAGGGTTTAATGATAAAATGGAATAAAAATCTTCGTCTCTGAACCTAAATGGTGCCCTTCTTGATCCTCCCGGGTTGGTGGTTATGAGTGGTGGCCCCAAGGACTCACTCAACATTTGAGGACTGTTTGTTCCTTGGAAGGCCTGACGTAGGCCTGGATATAGCTCATTCTGGGAAAGAGCACTTGGGTCTCCTTTTTTGGCTCTCTCAGGGGTATTCTCAGTCATGGTCATTAGCTGTGAGGATGAGACGAAGTTTCTTCTCTCTCGAGTTGGCCTCTTTAGCTTAGTGTCACTTGTCCACATTGGGCCCTCTTGTTGAACTACCGGATCTGCATGGAGAAAAGACAAGTTTGTAGTTTTACTATAGGTGCTCATGGGTGAAAGACCTTTAACACCAACACTGAGAATCCCTCAAGTCAACAAAGAAGCCTAGAGAAGAAAATATGCTTGGTTAAAACGGCTGGATGTACAAAAGGACAACAGTAGAATTAGTAGAATTAGCTTCCTTTTATTGCTCCTTTTGTACATTTGTGGAGCTTAGGCTGGTTCTGCGGAGACAGGGTGACCCTGAGGATACAGATTTTTTTTCTGTGGAAGCTTTTGGGAAGACTGTCCAGTCCAGGTCAGCCAGGGCTGGTAATGGGTAAGTCTCTCGAATGATGGTTTTCACTCCAGTATTTATGGAGAAGGAAAACCAGCCCTCCATGAAAACCACCAGTGCCTCTTCATCTGGTTTCATTCAGCGTACATTTATGACACTCCTGCTTCACACACAGCTTTGCAAAATCTTAAGGAAAATATAATCTACCTTGGCAGATGGACGGGGGGGAGGCTCTAGAAGCTGGTGTCCAGTTACCCTGATGATTTTGGTTACATTTACTGCTTCGTGTGATAAAAATTATAACTCTCTCATGAGATCATTACCTTTTCTTTGTCATTAGACCCCAGTCGATCTGTAACCTTTGGGTATGAGAGAATTCTTCCCCCTACCCCCTGATTCTAAAGTATTAAGAGATGTACAGGAAGGAGGAGGCAAAGAGCCCAAATGAGAAGGAATTTCTAGCGGTGAAGTCATGTGGTCAAAACCTGCCTTATAAAAATAATGATTAAGCACTACTTACTGGGGGTGTGTACCGAATGGCCCAGGCACTATACTAACTGTATTACATACACACTTGGGCCTCACAACCCTATGAAACAGGTACCACAATCACACCACACTATAATCAAGGGCACCAAGGCTTAGGGAGGTCCCCTCGCCTCCTGGAGATCGTATTTCTAGTAAGTGATGGTGCGATCACTCGAGCTCAAGCCTGCCCGACGCTATGGTTTGTGTTCTCAATCCCCACCCCAAGTCCCCCTTAAGAAACTGGGTGGCCTTTCCATTTCCTCATGAAAATGAGAATCCATTTAATTCATCGTGATGCTGTGTGTGTTGTTCACGGTTTTTTACCCTCTCGATGCGGATAGGACACTGTAAGTACTTCTCTGATTCCATTTCTCTTTGTTTTCTCTCTGTTCCCTCCTGGCGTCGGTCTTCCTGCCTGGGTCCCCTCATGCCATCCTGCAGCATCTAACGAGGCACTGCTGTCCTTATCGTTCAGCTTCTAAAGCCACTCACCCCACAGAGAAGACAGGACTCCACCAGCTTGGGAAGGCCTGTGTCGGTACTAGCTCAGGCAAGGATTTGATTTGCAAATCCTCAGAGCATCTGGCCGAGCCAAGGGCCAAGTCAATACTGACTCACTTTAATTGAGGGCCTCCCGGGGAGCACTGGCTTCTAACGTCCTAATACTCTGTAAGCCTCTTTTATTGTTAACTGCATGGGACACTCAGCGATGCGGTGCGCGTTTTTACTCATCAGCTCTTACAGAAATCAGTTAAGCTCTCCTATGGGGCCCCTCGTGGGTTTTCGAAACCCCAGTAAGAGATGAATCAGCAATTCCAGGGAGCTCTGAGCATCTGGTACAGGAGTGGAGCTGGTTTGGATCGCGGTCTGAGGGACACATGCTTCTGTGTGACCCACTGAATTCTCTGGGTAATTTAGAGGGGGTGGAGGAAGTGATAACAGGAGATTTGGAAACACAGGCTCTGGTTGATTCCTCTTCATTTTGAATTTGATGAAGGGCCTCGGAGATCAGCTCACCAGTGCTGGGACCTGAATCTTCTAGTCTGTCCCTGAACAGGCAGCAGCCGCTCTGCCCTGAGCCAGTTTAATCTGGGCTTCAGGAGACACCAACGCAAAACGAGTCATTAGGGCAGCTTCTGAAACGGGGAACTGGACACTCAGCCGGAACCACAAGCTTGTTTCAAGGAAGCTATGGGGGTGCCACCCAGGGACACTGGCTTCAGAACACAGCAGGATGATGCCTGCGGGTCCCAGCACAGCCCAGGAACGCATCTTCACCCTCTTTGCCACCACCACCGCCTTCTCTTGAAAGGTCCAATAACCCTTCCCTGACGTGTTTCCCCTAAAGGTGGCAGGTGGCACCATTGTATATTTATGCTATTTTAATCTGATTTCTTATGTTTACCTGAGAGGGAGCAGATCTCATAGCTCTGGGGCCTGGATGAAACACCCCCTTCAGTATGCTGGGATGTGCTATTCATAGACCAGACCCTACAGATTCTGCCGAATGCATCTTGGGCCCCTTGTGGACTTCAATTTAGAAGGGAGGGTGCCTCCCACATCTGGGAGTTCAACAAGGTGTGACGGAATGTTCTAGAGGCAACAAGATGAAGCCAGAAAAAGCCTCTGTCTGCCCTCAGGCTCTGTCCGGTCTAGACTTCTTTATGTGCTTGACCAGCCACTAGTTTTCCTACATTCTAAAAGCCATAGACTTTTAACTTTTTCCTCTGGTTATACAAGTAGTCGCTCTTCATTTGAAGAAATATTGGAACTTTCAGAAAATGAAGAAGAAAAAATCACCCATAGTCTAAAACTCAGATAGCCATTGCTCCTGTTCAGGAACTTAGGGGTGGGTTGCCAACTCAAGACCCCCGGGTTATTTTCATCCTATGTAGGGCTTTGGCTCAACCTTTGAACACTGAGGCAACCACTTTCACGTGGAGGCTGTATGTTCTGGTTTACCTCAGGCCCCACAGCCCTGGTTATGTGTTTCTCCTGCCCCATCTGTCTGTTCCCTGATGGCATTTGAATTTACAAATCTGAGCTCTCTTACCTAGCCTTACCTCTTCAAAAAACCAAAACTGGAATATTTGGGTACATCCAACTTTATGTCTTGCTTTCTTTCCCTAAACTTTTTATTGTGAGCATGATCTCCTGGCATTAAATTCAATTATTCTTTGAGAACAGGATATTAAGTACAGGTTAAGATACATTATATAAATGTATCATAATTTAACTCTTCTCCTATTCCTGGGTATGTAAGGTATTTCATGGTTTTTGCTGTTACAAATTACCCCTTGCTCATACAACTTCCACCGTGTGTCTCATTAGAACAGATTCGCAGGAGTGGAATTGCTACATCAAAGATTTGACCCTTCTAAAGACTTCACAGATGTTGCATAATTCTGGTTTGTACCAAATTACCCTACAGGTAGGATATGAACCCATCTCTCATAGCTGTGTCACCAGCAACGCATGCCAAGAGCTTGGCATAGCATCTGACACAACAGTGCCCAGGAAATGCTACTTATTTCACTACCAGTATTGAGTATTATTTTAAAAACCTTAGCCAGTTTGGGAGGCCAAATTGCACTCGTGCAAATTCACATGTATTAGTGAGATTCAACTTGTTTTTGTTTTTGTCCAAATGTTCATTAGGTTATTGTGAAATTATTTGCTATGCCTCTTCCCATTTTTCTATTAGGGACTCATGTTTTTTCTTATTGATTTGTAAGAGCTTTCTATATATTACCTCTTTGTCACATTTGCTTCAAATCTCTCCCTGATACAATTCAAACATCTGGCTCCTACTCCAGTTTATGCAAACCACTTTAGCATGTGAGAGAAAAAATTAGAGACTAGCGAGGAAAAAATTGGGGGAAGACAAGGAGCTCTTATCCTTATGTAAGAGAAAACTGAATATATACCAGAAAATTGGGACAAATTCTCAGTGAATTTCAGGATAACAGAAGATGTCTTCTGGGTATAGGTGGAAGACTGTATGAACCTCATATTATCTGAAAGATGTTCTATGCTCTCATTGACCCTACTTCTAAGCCATCCAAGCCACTACTGTGTCTTATATTTACAGGTGTCCACCAAAGCATAGATCACATGTTAAAATACAGCTGACTGCATTCATTGCGTGGTGAAGTGATGCTCAGTGGTTTCTCCAAGGGGAAGACTAGGTCCACGGCAAGGTTGGCTGTCAAGTGTCACTTTCTTTGAGTCCCATGGAGACTCCTTGGGTCCTATGTCTTCTGCCACCACAGGGGAGGATAATGTGGTCAGTGGAGCAGCATGGCTTAGGAAGCTCAGGACTGAAAGAGGGGGTATGCCCCAGTTTTTGGAAATAAAGCATATATTTATTTTGATGTTCTTTCTTATACACTGAGATCCTGAAACCCTGGGTCAGAGGTGAGAAGATCCCTGTGGGATGTGAGCAGCCTGACACCCGCAGACACCCATCCATCCCTCCTGGGCCAGGTGAGATATCCCCAGAGTTGCACACTGCTTCTCCACCCCTCGTTCCCCACCCCAACCCCACCATCTGCCACCCAGATGCCCTTTCCAGAAGCCCAATGGCTGCCCTCCACTTAAAACTATGCACAATCCCACTTAATGGAATAAATGGGAGAAGGAATGAAAACAAACTACCTACCTTCTCTACCTTTTCCTGGCAGCCTTCTTCCTCTTGAAGAAGGAACTAGAACTAATGGTTTGCTTTCAAAACCTTTTAAGCATTTCATTTTAAGGTACACTCTCCTCCACATAAAAGCACACATGTCTAAAAACCATACAGAATTCACCAGGTAACAGTTCAAGTCGAGCCACGAGTCCTTACCTGGTCCCCTGAGGGCCTGTGCCTTCAGTCTGCTTCTGTCCCCCGGCACTCTTGGGTTCTGCATTTCTGGGCTGACTGTCAGTCTCCCCAGGTTTGGCCTCCTCTTCCTTGATAAAATCTGTGATGCCTGGGCTGCTGAAAGGTGCAAAAGCTTTTCAATAATTATTTTTTTTTTTTTTTTTTTTTTACAGGAAAACAGCTTCTGCATAAAG